GGTGCGCAATAATTCGATTTCGGATGAAGTGCTTTAAGGTCTCGACCTGCCCCTGTCAGATAAGATAAGATAAGATACTAAATAATACAATAGGTGAGAACACAATATGCATAAGAATAGTAATACTACTAAATAGTACATACAAAATTAGTAACAGGTGGACTATGAACAAAAGAAGCTAGCATTACAAAAATATATGTAAGAGGATATACAGGTAACGTGCGAAAGGCATAATAATAATACTGAAAGAGAAACAAGATCCATACAAATCTTAATAGCAAGACATGTAATAATATTAGTAAATAGTGCCATACAATAGTGAGTAAAAATCAGACTCTGGACAAACCAAAAAAAGAAAAAAGCTAGCATTGCAAGTAAAAGTACAGGGGCCCATTTCATAATAAACTACAAGTTACAAGTTACAACTTGTAACTTGTAATTTCCATAAGATTTGCATTGGGCGATCAGCTGATTTACTAATAATATTAGTTTGTACTTTATTATGAAATGGGCCCCTGGTGGTTAACGGGTGAGTCTGTCCTGCTAAGTTTGTGCGACTTGAGCAAGGCATTCGATGTCGTAAACCACAAAATCCTTCTTGCTAAACTGAGTAGGTATGGGGTGGGTGGCGCAGTCCTTGGCTCACTGACTGAATACCTGAGTGACCGCAAACAGTATGTTACTCTGAGAGGTGCCTCTTCCAGCGTTGGCAGCATACCTCACGGCGTGCCGCAGGGCTCGGTGCTGGGGCCAGTGCTCTTCACTATCATGATCAATGACCTCTCACTTAACAACCGTACTCTACTGTTTGCTGATGATACTACTCTGTTCTCTAGAGGGAAAGACCTAGAGGATCTCCGTGGAGAAGCTACTGTCTTACTGGAAGAAGCGAAGAGCTGGTTTGCCGTCAATAGGCTCAAGGTGAATGAGGACAAGACACAGACCATCCTGTGTACCCTCAAACCTGTTGTGGAAGATGAAGCTGTAAAACTCCTGGGCTTCTGGCTTGACCCCAGGTTAAATTGGAAGCAATAGACAAGGTATGTGTTAGGCTATCTAGAGTTACTTACCTACTAAGAAGACTTCGTCCTACTTTAAGTCAACCCTCTCTGCTGATGGTCTATCACGCCCTCTTCCACAGCCATGTGTCGTACGGCCTTGTCCTATGGGGCCATTCTACAGCAGCCCATGACATCCTACTGCTCCAGAAGAAAGCCATGAGGATAGTGTCATCTGCTGGCTACAAGCAGCACTGCCGCCCTATATTCATCCGGCATAGGGTGCTCACTGTATTCAGCCAGTATATCCTCGACATCCTTGTACTACTCAAAGACAAGGTGGGACTCTTTGGCAGGAGGGAGGAGGTCCACACCCACAATACCCGCAGAGCCCCAGACCTTGACATGCCTCGGTGCCGACTTGCACAGACAATGAGGAGTTACCCGCGTTCGGCAATTAGGGTATTCAACACCTTGCCTAAGCGAGTGCGTGACATGGACCTGCCAGACTTTAAGAGGGAGATTCGTGATGGACTGCTGAATAGGCCATTGTACGCCTTGCATGAGTTGGAGAGTGAACCCCTTTTTTTAACGTGACACGTCCGCCACAAAAGTAGAAGTCAAAGTATATGTAGATATTTTTTAATGGTTTTATAGTGTTTATATGTAAATAGTAAAATGACGCAATCTATCCGACATGTCGGTCAACGATGTAGAAGACAAGTATTCAAGTAAGTAAGTAAGTAAGTATTCAAGTAACGAGCAAAGAGATACAACTGAAAATACAAGTATCGGCTCCATCGGCTCTGCTCTGGCTCACCGGCTGTTTCTGTCTCATGGTGGAAGTAAACTATTTAGAGCAGGCCCATAATTATAAAATCCCTCTCTATAAAGTGCAAGAAGCATTTCATGTAACAATTGGGGAAACAACGTTTTTAGGGTATTTCGACCCTGCTGAGAACGAATCTGCCTGTTGCCAACTTGAAATTATAACCGGAAGTGCGGTATCCAAGATGGCGGCCAAAACTCTGTTTGTCCCATATCTCCCTTGTTAGTTTGGCCTAAAATAATGGTTTAAACGTGTATATAGGGGTTTTGTCAGATGCCAAACACATTACAACACTCAACATTTACTTAAATTAAGTTTTGAGAGCATATATTCCAAAATAGCGCCCAAGATGTCCACCAAAAAATTATAATTCCGCATATCTCCCTTTTGTTTTGGCTTAAAATAATTATTTAGACGTCTGCATAGGGGTTTTCTCAGATTCCAAACACATTGCAACACCCAAAATTTACTTACATTAAGTTTTGGGGCATATATTCCAAGATGGCACCTGAGATGGCCGCCAAAAACTCTAATTTCCGTATATATGTCCCTTGTTTGTTAGTTTCGATTAATTACGTTTACAAAGGTAATTTCTCGGATGTTAATCACATTGCAACACTCATTATTTACTTCATTTGAGTTTAGAGACTTTTAAGATGGCAATAAAAACTTTGTTGTGCTTACGTGAGCTCCCTCTGCGTATTATTGTATTTAGTGTTTAAAACCAGTCAGATATCTATTAGTGGCTGAATATGTGCTACACTATTTTTGAAATACCAATTGAAATTTAGCAATGTTAAAGTAGAAGGCAAATTGTTTAATGTACTCTGGTGGCACCGTAGATAACGCACCAACTATGTTTATATTATACGGTATGTTAATGATTTAACAGTAGCTTTAAGTAATGTTTGTGTATCGCCATACATGTACGCTGATGACTTTGCAGTTCAAATAAGTTGCTCAAATGATAATTTAACTAATCAAATTCTCAATAATATCAACGATTGTTGAGGACTGGACGGCTGCAAATTTTCTGTGTCTCAACAAAGAAAACTCAAACCTCAAATTTAACCTACGTTCTTGTTCTCACTACACACCTGAAGAGGTTAAATTTCTAGGTTTAGTTCTGCAACCTAACATTAAATGGAATAATCATGTTGTCAGTGTGTGCAAAAAAGTGTGTAAAGGTATTTTTATGATTAGATGACGTATCAGGTTGATTGTTGATTGTGATGTTCTGATGTCAATATACTTTGCTCACATTCAGAGTCACCTATCGTATGGAATTGTAGTGTGGGGATATGACAGCAGCGTTAACAAATTACTGATTTTGCAGAAGAAAGCTTTAAGAATCATATGTAAAAAGAAGTAGTAGAAGAAGTAAAAAGAAAAACTCATTGTAAACCTTTGTTTAGAAAACTTGGTGTGCTAACTGTACCTTCATTATATTTACTGGATTCTTTAATGTACATTAAACAAAATCTTAATAATATTCCTACCAACAATTCAGTACATTCATATTTTACCAGACAGAGCCATTTTATCAGAATTCACCAATGTAATCATCAGACTACCATTAAATCTACTTTTGAATTAGGTAAGAAAATCTTTAATTTGCTGCCACATAATGTAAATACCCCCGCCGCAGCAAACCTGCAGACTAAGCGAATTTCCATTAACCTGGTTGGATTTACACTAAAATGCCTCCATAAAAATAGCACATTTATTTCCTATTTAAATAGAATTAGTTAAACGAGTACTTAGGTTTGCTGCAACAGGGAGGGCAAAAAGATTTTTTTTATAAAATGATAATAGTTTAGTAAGAAATAAAAGTATTTTCCAAAATCGATCAAAATATGTTCATAAACAAGCAGACTACAACAGTTGACTTATTCTTCATAAGAATAACATGGGAATTTTAAAATTACAATTTTTTTGAATTTTCTCCGTAACAATTAGGCGCATAATAACACTTCAATATACTAAATTATTTGTTTTTTTAAGCTCTACAAAATGGTTTAAAAATAAATTTCGAAATTTTGTGTTTTTAGGGCCAAAAATGGGAAAACCCTACTTTTACCCCATGAAACCCCCATAAACCCCCGTTCACGTAGTCCGATCATGCTGGTTCGCGAACTCATTCAAGTTTATCCCGCCTTACACTTTCAAACCAAATTTTATCACAATCGGACATTACTCAAGTTATCGTGTGGATGGACACACATTTTCTCCATAAGAATAACATGGGAATTTTAAATTATCACTATTTTTGAATTTTCTCCGTGACCGTTAGGCATAAAAGAGCGCTTCACTATACTAAATTATTCTTTTTTACGCTCTACAAAGCGGTATAAAAAGAAATTTAAAAAAAAATTGTTTTTAGGGTGAACATGGGAAAACCCCATTACCCCATAAAACTCACCATAAACCCCCGTTTCCATATGGTCCGATTATGTTGGTTCGTAATCACTCGTTCGAATAAACGTAGGTTTACACGTTTGTACCAAATTTCATCAAAATCGGATAATTTTTGCTTGAGTTATCGCGCTAACGGACATATATATATATATATATATATATATATATATATATTTATATGTATATGTATATATTGATTTAATGTGTTCATCTACGTCTTCTTTGGTGACTCTTAAAACCAAACGAGATACAAAAATCCAGGAAGATTTGTCCACAGCTGCTACCTACAGTACAATTTGAACTCAGTGAGCCAATGCAACGACTTGACTAGTTAGTAGGCCTAGATCTGTTATTTCCATTTTGCCTGAGGACAAGACACAGACCATCCTGTGTACCCTCAAATCACAAAACATAGAACACAAAATACAGCTCAACAAGTACATATATGTTTTCTCAATCTTTTGGGTGCTGTTTCGGGTTAGGGCATTGCTTGATCGCCCCCAAGCAGAGAAGAGTCACCTTAACCTTCCATTTCATGAAATCCGTCAAATCTTTAGAATCCCGAATCCTACTTTTAATTAACAAAAACAACATGCACCACGAAATACCACATTTATGTTTCTTACTAACAAAAATCTATTCACCATTGAATTATCTGGAAAATAAGATTGTGTTTTGTTTAGTAATGGACAACCACAGAAAACATTGAGGTCTCATGGGTAAAAATTCACAGACCACCTTTTCGGCATGGAAAAAAGTTCAGTTTTTCTTTATTTTGTTGTTCTTCTTCCACGTCCTCTTCCTTCCTTTTCGTTTTGGTGTCTTCTCGTCTATCAGTTTACGAGGTTAGGAAAACCTTTCATCAACTCAAAATGAAGTAAGTTAATCCATTTGCATCTCGATTTTTTATAAATATTCTCAATTTTAATTATTATCATATACTAAATTTAGAGAATGTCGTCGGAATTATATGGCGTTTTACTTTTTATTGAAGTCAGTACCTATTAGTATCCTTTATAATATTGAGGTTATGAAACTAACAAGAGAAGCCTATGCCTAGTCGTCTATAAGATATAGGTATACAATATTTTGTTAAATGCATATGACAGCCTATAACTTTCGAAATATTTTTATTTTTTAGTTATGTACTTGCCCCCCTTGTTTATGTGATAGGCCTACTACAGAGGTGTTTATTTTGACCTTGTTTAGGCCTACTTTAGACAGAAAAGAACTAGGCTTAGGCACATAGGCCTAATGTTAAAATAGGGTAATTTTATTAGGCCTAAGTTATACCTAAGATGTCGCTTCTCTTTTTACCAAGTTGTAGGTTAAAAGTAATCAGGATGTAAGTTAAGTTGGCTAAAAGTTAACATAGGCTAGGTTTGAAACAAGCTGACTTGTTCAACTGATAAGTTAACTCAGGTCTAAGGTAACGTACATTATTCACTTTGAATGCTTAAATGTTAAGGTGGCCTTGGGAACCTACAGTAGTAATTTATGGACACTAGCTTTTACCAAGTGCATACCCTCCAGGATCAAAACTAGGGGGGGGGGGGGTACAGTTTCTTAACTGGGCTATGCTAATATTGATTGAAACTATTGAATTGAAAATATTGGTTAATAATCAATATTATTAGGCCTAAATATATCTATTATAAAATAAAACTATCATAACCTAACCTATCCAACCAAACTTGCTGATGGTGAAAAAATCGCATGAAGGTTTAACTTACTAATCGAATCGATAGTTTCAATCAATATTAGCATAGCCCAGTTAAGAAACTGTAGGACTACCCAGGGGGGGGGGGGCATGAGCGTATTTGAATCAGGGGTCGCTAGGGGATACCCCTAGCAAAAACAATTTAGGCCTATAGAAATTAGCGTGTTCTACGCCATCTTGAGGCATAAGTAACTAACCTTGCTCGATAATCCAGTGTTTATACTTAAAGTCTTATAGTTTATAAACACTTAAGTTTAACCCTCTATCTGGCGCTGGTCGATTTTTGACCACAAAAACGAGTTCTCAGTGGCGCTGGTTGATTATCGACCAAGACGACATGGGTTGGGATTTGCTATGATTAAAATATAAAAACCGCAGGGTGTCCACATTCTGGAAAGTCAGGGATGGTCATGGAAAGTCATGGAAAAAAATTTTGGTAGGCTAATTGAAAGTCAGGGAAATAGGCAAGAAGTCATGGAAAGTCATGGAAATTTCGAATTATGGATGGATTTGAGGGTACCATTCAATGCTCTAGTCAGCTGTAACCCGGACTGTTGTAGCATTTATCAGGATTTTTCACAAATGTTCGACAATTCAATTTATTACAGTTGTATTAGTTTATGAGTTTTCGGTTTGTTTTAGTTCATTGTTGTACCTATTGTACTCCATTGTTATCTGTTATTACATATTTCAGTATTTTCTGCAAAATAACATGTCCAGGTAGTTATATTTGTGTGTGTATGTTATATTATAATTTGCGTGTAAAGTTTGTGAGTCATGGAAATCAATGGTAAATGGTCATGGATAGTCATGGAAAGTCATGGAAATTAATGACAAATTTTTTGTGGACACCCTGAAACCGTTTTAAAACGAAATAAATCTTAGGCCTATAGGCCTACCATTAACTTAGTATGTTTAAGATGAGATTCTGGGGATTCATTTTCATGCATTAAGTAAAACATTACTGAGTGAGTATTAGCGAGAAACATAGTTTGAAAAACTAGAGAGTTCAAAATAAGTTAGGCCTATATGACTATGATAAAAATGGATGTAACTTACATTACAATTGACTCTGTTCTAAGTTAACCTAACCCTACCAAATTTTTTCGAACAGCTTAAAATTTGTTTTTACATGGCAGAAATACATATTTGAGAAGTGTAGGCCAGGTTTTTATTCAATTTCGTGACTGTAAGTAAGTCCTTTGATTGATTCTTTGAAGGTAGACTACTTAGATTAGGTACGGTAAGTTAAGTTTTTAAAGTTTAGGTTACCAATGAATAGAGTAAACATTCTCAAAATTATTTAAGTAGCCTAACTTAATTATGATTAACCCACTAGGCCTATAGGCTATTTCAATACAGTAGACTCTCACTCATCCGGACTAATGTAGCGGACGTCCGATCCAGATTACGATAAATCCGGACTATCGAGAGTCGAGCAAATACTTTACAGTAGTGTATATAGCCGTTTTTTTTTTCCAATTTTAACCCAGGTCCACATTATTGATAGCCGGGCAAATGCAATTCCACCGGTATATATTATTACCGCTGTTTTATCCGAGTTTTTTGATTATCCAAGGTAGTCTTGGTCCCGTTTATTTAGGATAATCAGACTTCTATTGTACTGTGCCACAAAAAAAAAAATCACGATTGCCGATTCGGACTAGCGGTAGTCTGGACAAGGCCGATCCGGATGAGCGGGAGTCTATTGTAAAACAAAAACATTCTGGAGGTTACATAAATCAAGAATTCGGTTCATTATAACGTTTAAACTTTTCTTTCCTAATCTAACTTAACATCAAAACACTTATGCCTTTACTACTGCTTTGTTTTTATTGTCCTAGATTTCTTATTCTTTTCCTCCATCAATCCTTATTTGTAGGCCTACATTGTTTACAAATTACAGTATAGGCAACAGCGACAAAGACAAGCAGACAAGAATTACAACAAAATGATCGTACAGTAGAACCTCTTTAATCCGAACCCCTGTAATCCGAAGTCGTCAGCTTTACTCAGGGCTAGAGATATACAAGGGCTAGGCCACGCGAGCTCAGAAAGTGATGCCAGGTGCCTCCCCACCACTCCGTCGCTGTGACGTCACGGCGATACCTCGGGCTCCCGGCACCGTATATCTTTGCCTGTGTGAGCGCTGGTATTACCGCACATTTAGCGTTTATTAAGCTCTATTTTGGACATTTTTTATTATCTATTAATGTATTTTATAAAAGTAATTGATTTTCAAATAGGATAACATCAATTTTAATAAGTAAAAAATTAACTTTATTAGATATCTAAGGATGGGAGTGGAATGTAAAGCGATGGCTAAGAATACTGTAGTTATTGATCCAATGCATTAAAATTACTGTGTAATATATGTGTTCGTATTGCTCGAATGTATCTGAATGTATGGATTATTAATTGTATTTATTTATTACTTATTCATTCGTACCTTTTAGGATTAATTGAGGTTATATAAAATACATTGAGGTTGTATTAAAATACATTAAAGTACCTATACTTAGTATTTTGTAACTTTACAGGAAGGAAAAGAATTTCAATTAATCAATTACATTTTATTATAGGCCCTACATATTTCAATAAATTAAAATAACATATAGTTGCAAAAATACATTAAGTTGCCTGACTAACTAACCTCAATCTCTGTTGACCATTATCTAACACGTCGAGTTTTGGTGTGATTTTACTTTATCAGTTTACATCGTGATTATACGTTGTAAATGTTTGGTTACGATATTATTTATTGTGCCTCGACTGTAAAGTGACATTACTTTTAGAAACTTGAGACACTATTTTTTAGCCAGTTTTTGTGAACTTCATTGACTGTTTACCAACAACGAATATCGCGGGTTTGACTTTATCACTTTAATCGTATTAGTTATAAAAATTGTACTTATTTAGTTTATAAACTGTTTTATGTGGATATATTTACTTAATTTGAGGTCTGGGACATTACATTTAGCCCGTTTTTGAAACATTTCGTCATAATTAACAAACGATTTAATCGCCAAATGAAAAAGGCACAGCAGCATTTTATAGAGAAAAAAAACTATATAAAACATTTATTTTTGTATATTTGCCTTTATAACTATGTATATTCATATGGGGGAATAAGTTTACTTTCATTTTATATGGTTAGTTTGGGTTTTGAAAATAATATATACCTACGTGTGAATAAAAAAATGTTTTTCAAGACAAATATAAACATTTTTATTAAAAGTCACAAACATCTATTGAAATGATCAGTATACATAAACAATTCTTACTTCATTTGATCTCCAATATTATTGCCTAAAAATGTTAACTTTTACTTTATCTCTTGATAATACATTTATTTGGTTTTATTTGAAATTTGTTGTGCATAATCGTGAAACTTGTTATTTTATTGTTTTTGGGCCAAAACTTTGTACCTAAATGGTAATTAGAATCTTTTTACATTTCCATGTAGGGAAATAAATTCCAAACAATTTGTATATCTAATGAAACATTTTTGGTTCATGCAGCAATTTTTTTACCTACTGACAATATTTTCTACAATGTTTTTAATATTTATTTCGTTGCCATTTTCAAATTCTTCATTTCATTACGAACACTTCAAGTTGGAAATAATAAATACGGTTCATAGGTTTGATCTGTTGGTTTAGTTTATATGAATTTTCGAAAATATGACTGCAAAATCGCCAAAAATGCCTTGCCACTACAGAGTTCGCCCATTGCAATTTGGAGTGTTAACGAAACCCGCTTTAAAAATCACACTATAAATTACATTATTACAAACACAATTATTAATATGCGCGTAGATGCCGGGCGAAATATGCACTGCCGTGCTAGGCTACCGTCGCGCCTCGCGCCGATGTATCTCCGCTACGTCACTGAGGAGGGGCGGGGGAGGGGAAGTAGGATCAGGCGGCGACCGCTAACATCAAAGGAGTGAGCCAGCCCTTGTATATCTCTAGCCCTGAGCTTTACTAGCATCACTTTGGTATTTGAATATATTATTATGTGTCTTTATTTGTGTTCATTAATGGAAGTGTTTAACGTACTAACTTTTAACTAAAGTAGACATAATTAATAGCATTCCGTGTTTTGATCCATTCCAGCGCCTTCACGCGGGCCCTCAGGACAGTTGATGCTACCCGCATGACTGCAGAAAATGTTTTTGACACATGTTAGTAGAGGATTTCTATCGATCGGTCAAGTGCCAACTTAGCTGGAACTCTAAGGTCTACCTTGATGTTTTCTGGTAGACTAAACATCTAGTTTCTGGTGATAAGTTAGCCTAAATTACCAAAGTTTCCCATCATGGTCACCTTATCATGCATAGTTTCCTATTTGGTAATTAATGGAACAGTTAAAGTACCTATTGAGTTTTTACGTGCACAAGAACAATAAACTTGGAAGGCTATAGTTATTTACCTTTTTTTTTTGCCCTAGGACGCTAGGCACGAGCCTGGGATTGTTTTCACATTACTTCATACTAGACCTAAGGGTTGCGGCATTATCACTTCCATAAAATCCATTGGTGACTTGGCGGACTGAAGTCCCGCGTTCTAACCACTAAGCCAGCTCACTCCCAAAAATGAATGAACTGTAGTTATTTACCTTGGCGTCATCGGCCGCAACGACATGTCTAGAGCGAGTCATTGGTGTTGAACTATCGAGGTTCTACACTGTATTATGAATGTGATGAGTTATTTTAAGTTGAGTAACTTAGGCTCAAAGAGAAAAGTTGGATTGATAAGTTAATAGAAAGAAAATTATGTTCTTTGTAGATACGATTGATCTAACTTTCTAATTAAGTTGACTTAGTGTGTTAACTTATTTTAAGTTTGACCAGGTTGGCTTCCTAACTTAGCCGAGATAATTGCAAATGTCCTCTCTCAACTAATTTACTGCTATAGCCTCCTCTAATAAGTTACAAGGCCAGTACAATACAAGTTACAAGGTAGTTACAGGATTAACAAACTTGTAATAAATAAAAAGCATTGCACATACGCTTTATTTTAAATTAATGCAACATCTGTTCTAGTATGCTAGGTCTACAGAGTTACCACTTTTGTCTCGCCGCGGCCTTGTATTAGGGGCTATGGTACTGCCTATTTATTTAGCATAAATGTCTGCTAAATGTATTGTCAAATTTCAGTGATTCTAAAGAAGCCTAAGCTTATTTGTCATTTGTTATCAAGGGATTGGGATTTAAAATACTAGTCAGAAATTTGGTAACAAATTATGCTTTGTTTAGTTTGTCTTTATCAGGATTGGAATGCGTTAAGGTTATAAATCAATGATTTTGAATAATTGAATTCTGATTTTTGCTCTTTGTTTATTTAATTACTTAACCTTAAGTTCAAACAGTATCATTTTCTAATAAATTTTAAGAAAGTGTGTGATAAAGTTTTATGAAGTTAGGTCTAACAGTGATAGCCTTGGCTAACCTATGTAGTAAAGTTTTTGAAGCAATTTTTTTAAAAGCTTACTGATTAGGTTGAGTTTTTAAGTAGTTCTAGGGTTGTCGCTTGAAAGCACTCTATTTTTAGGCCTACCTGATGACCATAGATCTTAACATTCCATTTAAATATAGGTTTAACAGCAGCTAAAACTCATGTTTCTGGCACCTGAACGTTTTAACCCTTCAGTGCTATGCGACGATATATCGTTGTGTGTCTTTTTCCAGAAAATTGCTACAGAACGATATCGTTGTTCGTGTTTCATCCGAAAAGTGCTAAGCGCCATAAGTTATATCGTGCCGGCACGACTTTTAATCGTGTGAAATGGGCATATTGGTTTACTCGGTTGTTGCTTCGAAACAGCGATGGTTTCTTTCTATTTCTCATACGAGCGAGGCCCGATATATTGTTCTTTAGCACTTTCAAGATGAAATATTTTATTTTTACCAACTTTTTCTCGCACACCAGACTTTGCCCCCGTGGCAAGTTACTCTGAAGCAGTCTTAGTATTGCAGATACATTCTCAAAATCCACACTGCTCGCCTTTACTACTTCCTTCACAATTTCCTACATCATGGATCTGTTTCCTTCCCTTCTCATAGTATTAAAGTATTACAGATACTTAAATCTAACTGACACAAACAGTAACCCCCACTTTGCAATGCTAGCCTTTACTACTTCCTTTACCTACCACTTCCTAAGTCGTGGGGCCTGTTTCCTTCCCTTCTCATAGAATTTTAGGATTGAAAATGCATTAATCTAACTGCCACAGACGGTTCCCACACTCTGCGATGCTAAACTTTACTACTTCCTGTTGGTGAAATTAAAGGTAATGAAAGAATAAATTTTTATAAACTTTTATTTTCTTACAAACACAACACAACACTGAATTATATTTTGTAAACAACTGCATATGTAAAATATAAAAACATATGATGGTCCATCACTAATCCAGACTAGATGAGTTGGGTTGCAATATTCAACATCTTCCCTCACCCAACTTAGCTAGGTAAAAGCATAGATAAAACATACTCCCTCAGTAGATTTCTCATCCTAATGGAACAGCTGAAGACAATTTTATTGTTAGTTCTGTACGGTTTATGTAGAGGTCGTGTTTTGTTTACAATTTGTTTCCCGTTGATACAGTCATTTAAAACCTCGTTTAACCAAATAATACGATCTAATCACAAACAATATATTGTCCCCTAGTTATTTAACCAAACAGTGAAGCACAAATCAAGAAATTAACCCTAAAATAATAGAAACAAAATTTCGTCGACACTAGCGCCCAGTGTGGCGTACATGAACTAGACATGAAAAACGAGCTTCAAAATTTACAATGGGATGAGAAGTCTACTTGTGTTGGTTAGTCTATGGTAAAAGTAAGTAAATCTAAGCATATCAGTATCAGAGAACATTTTATACGGGAAAAAGTACAAAATGGAGAAATAAAATCGAACTACAAACCCACAGAATACATGGTTGCTGATATTTTTACTAAAGGACTAAGCGAACCAAAACATCAAAAATTTCAAAAGTGCCTAGGACTTTAACCTAGCTAAGTTTGGTGAGGGGGGATGTTGAATATTGCTTTGTTTTGCATCTTCATTATTCGTACAAGTGTCTTTTGACCTAGCTCCACCCTCCTCAATTACTTTTATTTTTAAATCATTAGGAGAAGGTAAAGTCTAGACTCAATTGCTACCCGGAAATTTTCAAATGATGATGATAAACTGGAAAGTAGCATACCGGTAATGCTAAGTAAATCTGAATTGATAATGATGTCCATTTCTTGAAGTTTGTCAACAATCTCCATAAATTTGTTGACATGATCCCTAGCATCTTCTCCATCTTTCATTTTATGAACTATTAACTGCTTTAATAATGTGGCTTTCCTTGCAGGACCAGAACTTTGGTAATTGTTCTGCAGGCAATCCCATACTTCTTTGGAAGTTTTACAGTTTTTACTAATTTCAATTCACTAGGTGAAATTATCAATATTAGTTCTGATTTTGTTTTAAGATCTTTAACCATCCAGGCATTCTTACTAACTTCATCCTCAGGACATTTTGTTCTCCCCAGATACATATTCCATTAGGTTTTGTTGGATTAACCCTTAGAGTGCCAGGCGAGAAATAAAAGTAACGCTCAAAAAATGCCGATGATTTTTCCTGAAGGTCGCGCTAAAAATGCCGAGCGCGATCTGGCGATTTTTAGGTTAAAATTTCGTAAAAATCGAATTTTCGATATTTCGACCGACAAAAATCGATGTATCGCATCTAGTAACTTTCGACTCAATGTTAATATATGGGTTAAAAGAATCCCATTCGGTTGTTATGACAACTGTTCGATCATTACGAAACGTCCGGTCAGCCGGACGTTGGCACTTTTGGCTCGTTCTAAAAACGTCCGGTCGGCCGGACGTCGGCACTTTTGGCTCGTTTTAAAAACGTCCGGTTCCCCGGACGTTGGCACTCAAAGTGTTAATATAGCTTCAGCTTGAATTTTCCAAGTGTCATAATTATTTCGTTTCAAAGGTTCAATTCTATAGCCAAAACTCATTTTACTTATTTTTAAGCACAGAATACTGTAAAATGATTATTTTATTACTCCAAATGGCCCATAACCTTTGTTGGTGAAATTAAAGTTAATGAAAGAATAAATTGTTATAAACTCTTTTATTTTCTTACAAACACAACACAACACTGAATTATATTTTGTAAACAACTGCATATGTAAAATGTAAAAACATATGATGGTCCATCACTAATCCAGACTAGATGAGTTGGATTGCTATATTCAACACTTCCTACGTTGTGGACCTGTTTTCATCTCTTTCCATAGCATAATAGCATTTTAGATACATTAATCTAATTGCCACAAACATTCCCCACACTCTGCAATTAGCCTCTACTACTTCTTTCACCATTTCCTATGTCGTGGACATGTTTCCATTCCTTCTCATAGCATTTCAGTATTGCAGATATTAATCTAAGTGCTACAAACAGTTTCCAGCCCACACTCCACACTGCTCGCATTTACTACTTAATTCACCACTTCCTACGTCTCGGACCTGTTCCTCCCCTTCCCATAGCATTTTAGGATTGCAGATATCTTAATCTAATCGTCATAAATAGTTTTTCCACACTCCGGACTGCTCACTTTTACTACTATTTCCGACGTCTCGGACTTGTTTCCCTCCCTTCCCACGGCATTTTAGGATTGCAGATACCTTAATCTAATGGTCATTAACAGTTCAAACAAACAAACAAACATTGTTCATATAAATTTAAAAAAAATAAATGTTTCCTACACCATACAACTAATCAGCCAAGTTAATTATGTGTTGGGTTGGTTATGTTATTATTGTCCATCATTTACGTGAACCAAATAAAGTATCTTAGATAGTAAAATAATATTATTGAGAAATAAATATAATTAATTTAATTAGGTTAACGTAGCCTAACTTATTTATTAATTTATTTATATACTTCCAGGATAGGATTGTGTGCATACAGTGGCTATAAAATATATCCTGGTCATGGAAAAACTATGGTCAAAGCAGATGGCAAGGTAAGTTCTTTGTATTTAATATTGTGTTACAATAACTAAGTTAGGCCCTAAAATAGGTTTAGGGGTGATTCCATAACAAATCAACACAATTTAAATCAAAATTTAACCAGACCATCTTAGATTTTTATGACATTTGGTATACTGGTAGACCCTAGAGACTGAGGAAAATACAGGGTGTCTACCAGTCGGGAAATTTGGGAAAGAGACAGGGATTTTAAAAGGTCGGGAAAAGTCAAGAAAAAGAAGGCTAATTAATTTCGCCCATAGGTCGATAACATTCTAACCTTTCAAAATTAGGCATGAACGGGACCCAAAACTTCAAAAAAGTTTTCTGGATCGTGTATTCTTGATCATTGGGACGGGATTACATTTGAGGAGTGTGCGATGCATCAAAAATGCATTGGAATTCCGATTTGATTCAGTGATGATCAAAATAACGATTTGAATCATGGGGGTATCAGTATTCATATACGTTATTGAATCCTTGAATCCCTATCCATAATACGTTATTGAATCAGTTAGCATACGTTATTGAATCAGTATCTATACACGGTATTGAATCGATTCGATATCCATATACGGTTTTGAATCATTATCCAAACTATCCATATATACGTAGTTGACTGTTACATTGATTCTGTTACTTTGACTATCAGTATCCATCTAACTTTATGACATTATTCAAATTATTGACATTAATTATAAAAGTTACTCACTGATACATTGACAGATGACGATAATGTCTAGGCGGTCGGGGTAGATGTTCATGAAATTACCTAGAGTATGGCTTGACTAAAAATGTCAGGCCAGCAATCCTCTATTATACAATTTTGTTTTTGACTTATGTTGTTGAATCTTCATTTATTTTTAATATGGTTGTTTTGTTTTTAGCGAATTTCCCATATAGGGAATAAGCTATTACTGTAGTACTCATGGTAAGACCTGGACGCGGGACCGATTTTTTGTTTTGTTTTGAGGTCCCTAGAGGCCAAAAACACCATTCGTTCAAATTCATATATATATATATATGTGTGTCTGTTAGCACGATAACTCAAGCAAAAATTATCCGATTTTGATGAAATTTGATACAAACGTGTAAACCTACGTTTATTCGAACGAGTTCGCGATCCAGCATGATCGGATCATGGGAACGGGTGTTTATTGGGTTTTGGGTTTTATGGGGTAAAAATAGGTTTTTCCCATTTTTGACCAAAAAATACCCCCGCCGCAGCAAACCTGCCGACTAAGCGAATTTCCATTTGTCTGAATTGATTTTCAGTTAAATATATTTTAATAACATTAGGTTTAACGAGTAGGCCTACCTAGGTTTGCTGCTACAAGGAAACTAATAAAGTGTGTTTTTGAGTAAAATATTGATAGCTTAGTACAAAATAAATAAATTTGCCAAGTTTGATCAAAATATATTCATAAACAAGCAAACTACAACATTTGACAATTTTCTCCATAAGAATAACATGGGAATTTTAAATTTACAATTTTTTTAATTTTCTCCGTTACTAATATTCGAACAAAAATACTTTTATATACTAAATTATTTGTTTTTTTAAGCTCTTTAAAAAGGTCTAAAGAGAAATTGGGAAATTTTGTGTTTTGAGGGTCAAAAGTGAGAAAAACCAATTTTTACCCCATAAAACCCCCCGTAAAGCCCCGTTCCCATGGTCCGAAAGTGCTGGTTCGCGAACTCATTCAAGTTTATCCCGCTTTACACCTTTAAACCAAATTTCATCAAAATCGGACAAAAATTACTCAAGTTATCGCGTTCACGGACGTATATATATATATATATATACATATATAAAAATTTGAACGAATAGTGTTTTTGGCCTCTGGGGACATCAAAATGAAAAAGTAAATCGGTCCCGGGTCTAGGTCTTACCGTGCCACCTACGGTAATAGCTACTTCCCTATAGGGAAATTTGCTAAAAACATAAAATTTTGCAATTTCTTTCCAAACCATTTTGTAGAGCTTAAAAAAACAAATAATTTAGCATATTGAAGCGTTGTTATGCGCCTAATGGTTACGGAGAAAATTCCAAAAAATTGTAAATTTAAAATTCCCATGTTATTCTTACGGAGAATAAGTAAACTGTTGTAGTTTGATTGTTTATGAACATATTTTGATCAAATTTGGAAAATGTTTTTACTTCTTACTAACTATTAACATTAAAAAAAAAAAAACAGTTTTACCCTCCCTGATTCAGCAAACCTAAGTACTTGTTAAACTAATTCTATTTAAATCGGGAATAAATGTTATATTTTTAAGTAGACATTTCAGTGTACATCCAATCAGTCAAATTAGGCCTACCTCAAAATTACTTAATGGAAGGACACTAACACAGGGGTTCGTGTAGTTTAACCAATCTATTTAGAAAATTTGGTAAAAAAGTTGAAAAAAAATTTTGGTATTAAAAATTGATTTTTCAGGTATCGGTATCTCGATAACTTTTGGTATGGACACAACACTAGAATCTATAATACGTTATTGAATCCCTATCCATCCATAATATGTTAAATTGAACCAATATCCATACATTATTGAATCAGTATCCATGTACATTATTGAATCAGTATCCATCTATCTATATATTAATAGGCAAGCATGTTTCTTTAAAACCTTTTTTCTCAGCTCGTGTGCGTCGTAGGGAAAATCTATGCATACTGTTAGAAAGATATTTTCCTGTAGGTGTGCAGAATCACATTATAAATTAAAATAGGCTCAAAGATAAGCACAAAAAATGAATTTGAAATTAACAAAAAATTAACATGGGCTTTATGGGTTGCCATGATGGTGACGAAATAACAACGAAATATAAACAGAAAATCAAAACAAATTCCAATCACATGTTTTATTTACAGAGTGGGGTGAAAAATAGAGAAGTATGTAAAGTGCAATTGGATTTTTTTAGCTAGAAGTGGTTAAGCTGTGGTGGAATACCTTTGAAGATGGACCTTTTTAATACGATCATGTGTTCATTCGTGTCAAATCAAAACAAACAAACTGGCATAATATATTCTTGGAATTTGACATACTTAATCTACTTTAATAAAATCACTTAGTCATTAGCTAATCATTAGAAAATATTATCCAAATCAACTAATGAATAAATTGTTATTTAATTATTGCCTTCAAATTAAGTGATGGTTAATTGCTTTGAAAATAATTAAATTACATATTTATGTACATATTTATGGTCGAGTTTCGACCACTGGACGACCTCTAGTATACATTATTGATCAGTATCCATATACATTACTGAATCAGTATCCATCCATACTTTATTGAATCCGTATTCACCATATTATATATACATTATTGAATCAGTATCAATGTACGTTATTGAATCAGTATCCATATACATTATTGAATCAGTATCCATAATACATTATTGAATCAGTATCCATAATACCGGGTGTTTCAAAATGAATAGCTGGGTTTTAACGCTTTATAACTTTTATACTATTAAACTTACCACCATAAATTACGCATCAAATGAAAAAGCAACTCAAAGAGTTTATGCCTTCCAAAGACACATCATTTAACAAAATGATCCAGCAGAACTGTAGATTTAATTGTACAAAGTTAAAAAGTAATCTCCAACTTTTTTCATCACTAGAAATTCGGAGGTTACTTGACGTTTTTGCAAATAACTTTTAAATGGTGAGGAAATCGACCAAAGTGGAAGGTAATATTCTGATAGAGAATAAAATTTCCTACAATCTACTACTATGCATTTCAAGATATACTCAATAAATGTAGCCTAAATTTGGCTTAAAATAAAAAAGTGTGAAATTTAATGTTTGCTATGTTTATTGTCTACATTGAAGGCGGGGATTTTCAATTTTTTCATTTTGAGGCAATTTTTGGTACCTTTCTTCAATAGTAGATTGTAACTTAGGAAATTTTATTCTTTTTCGGAATATTACCTTCCACTTTGGTCGATTTCCTCACCATTTAAAAGTTATTTGCAAAAACATCAAGCAACCTCCGAATTTCTAGTGATGAAAAAAGTCGGAGATTACTTTTTTACTTTGTACAATTAAATCTACAGTTCTGCTGGATCGATTTTGTTAAATAATGTGTCTGTGGAAGGCATACACTCTTTAAGTTGCTTTTTCATTTGATGCATATTTTATGGTGGTAAGTTTAATAGTATAAAAGTTATAAAGCGTTAAAACCCAGCTATTCATTTTGAAACACCTGGTACATTATTGAATCAGTATCCATATACATTATTGAATCAGTATCTATATACGTTTTTGAATCAGTATCTTTATACGTTTTTGAATCAGTTAGCATACACTATTGAATCAGTATCTATACACGGTATTAAATCCGTATCCATATAAGTTTTTAAATCAGTATCCATACGTTATTGAATCAGTATCTATATACGGTTTTGAATCAGTATCCATAAGTTATTGAATCAGTATACATACGGTTTGGAATCAGTATCCATACATTATTGAACCAGTATCTATATACATTATTGAATCAGTATCTATTATACATTATTGAATCAGTATCCATATATGTAGTTGACTGTTACATTGATACTGTTACTTTTGCTCTCAGTATCCAGATATCTTATTGAAATTATTCAAACTATAATTGAGCGGAGCGAAGCGAAGCTCTTATACTACACTCCTGCCTTTGTATTACAAATACTCTTGAATGGCTGAAGTGATCTGCACGAAATTTAGCCCAGTCATAGTAACCAACCATGGGAAGGTATAAATCTGAAATTCCTACTTTTAGAAATTTAACATGGGCCTTATGGGTTATAGTCCTCGCCACCCTAACTTGAGGCAGCCCAAAGCCACACGCGATATCTAGTGCGGCCTTTACTTGGGCTGCCTTAAGTTAGGGTGGCGAGGACTATAATCGGTCGCACAGAATCATCTATAATAGCAAATTAGAAATACTGTACAAAGAAAAAGGGAAGAACAATCGGATTAATATCATTGAGCATAATATACTACAAAATGAATAACAAACCAATAATTAGGGTACCCAGAATTAGGCTGATGCACACTTAAATACTCCAATAAATAGGCTGATTGACTTTAAATACTCCAAATAGCCATTCCATTTATGTGAACCAAATATAGGCCTGCCATTTAGTTTGGATTCTGCTAATAGACTATCCATTTACGTGAACTAGACGTACCATTAATTTAGACTTTGAATAGGTACTGCAAATAGGAATTCCATTAATGTTAACCAAAGATACCAGACATTCCATTGATATTAACCAGACGTACCATTGATATGAACCAGACATACCATTTACTTTGGATAGGCCTACTGAAAATAGACACTCCATTTATTTGAATCAAATAAGCCATTGACTTAGGGTACTGCAACTAGATAATTCATTTACTTGAACCAAATGTACCAATGAGTTTAAATACTGCAAGTAAACAATTCATTTACGTTAACAAAATGTGCAATTGTGTTTGGATACTGCAAGTAAACAATTAGTTTACGTGAACCTGACGTATCATTGACTTTGGATACTGCAAGTACATTTCTCATTTATATGAAGCATGTGTACCATTTATTTAGGATGCTGCAAATAGACATTCCATTTATGAGAACCAAATATACCATTGACATTGGATATTGCAAGTATACAGTATCTCATTTACGAGAAACAGATGTAACATTGACTTTCGATAAGTATTGGATTAATATGATGCTAGCTCCGCTCAATATTGCAATCAGACAACTGCTTTGTACACCTAGTTATATAAGTTATTCACTGAGACATTGCTTAGCCAAAAAAGTTATTACCATCCAAGTACATGACATTCACTGAGACATTGCTTAACCATACAGGTTATTATTGACATATAGACATTGCTTAGCTCCCTTTTAAATGACAATGATAATGACATCCAGATTTCCATTATGATAATGACTAACTTTTTGTCTTGTGTGGGTTAAAGTATCTTAGATAGTAGAAGAATATTATTGAGAAATATATATTCAAGACTACCATAGAGATATCTCTATTCATTAGACATTTACAACCTTCTACTGTATTTATACCGGTACTGTTGCTTGTTCTATGTATACTTTTGGCTGTTAACAGAAATATGAGCCATTTTCTTGCCACATTTTAGCTGGTTGATGTCAAGTTGAAATTTGGTATTTTCTTAGTGTGGTTTACGTATACCAAATGTCATCAAAATATGAGACTGTCAGGTAAAATGACTTTGTTGATTTGACATGGAATCACCCTTAGTAACCGTTAAAGGTTAGACTATATGTGAATTTAATAGCCTACATGAAAAATTAACTTGAATTTAATTATTCCTAAACTGTGATAAAAGTTTATCATATAGGCTAGGCGACAAAACAACTTGCTACGAACATGGTGTTCAATAGACCGGAAAAACTGGGAATTTAAATTGCATTTTTAGTACGGGAAAACGTATTGTCATTTGTACATAAATGTTTGTTCATTGTACATCATGATTTTGACAAACTAATGGATGTTGCTATGAACGCCGAAAAAGACCATGGATGTACGTTTCGGTAATTGTAACATTAACATTATTTAAACTTATAACGTTATTAACTTATAAACTGATCCAAAATAAGTACCATAGCCTATGTTACTACTACTACACAATAGTGAGATCTGATTTTACAGTCATTTACTTACACTCAATACATGGGTCTCATTTACAAAAAGATTTGGATTAGAGATTGAACATTTCTGGATTTTACCACATTTCTAACATAATTTTGGTAATGACGCTCAACCAAAACCAATATTTTAACTGATTATGACTTTGTTCGCAAATTGGTAAATTTAGTTACGAGTAAGTTTTAAGTGAGTTCGGGTTAGATTAGTAGATATTTTTCTTTTGGAGAGGTTATCAGTGGTTTGATTTCGTCTGTTAATTTGTCTTAGAGTTTTTTGTAAGTAAATCAATAGGCCTACCTAAGTAAATGAGGCGCTCCATTCCAAAAGTCATTCATTACAATTTAGCAATTTTCAAAAAGTTTCTTGATTTTAATTATCATGTTTTTTAGTTGATTGATTAATTGATTGATGAATTATCATACCTTTTCTGCCTTGACTTTGATTTTTAGACTTCATATTTTGCTTTCAATTGAAACCATTATGTTTTTGGTGATTGTTTTGAATTTTCTGTTCCTCTGATGGAATAAGTTGAATTTTCCTCTTTTTATTTAGCCTTCTTGACAAAAAATTTTTCCTAAAAAATTTGAATACCGTATGAAAGATTACAAATTTACTTTGTTCTAAGTTACTAATTTTTCAGACTTTCACATTCCTCAATGCTAAATGTGAATCATCACACCTGATGAAGAGGAATCCCCGTAAAGTGACATGGACAGTTCTTTACAGGTAATAATATCTCAGTCGCAAAATCATGATATCTTAACTTAATTAAATTTGTGCATGTAATTAAAAAAAAATAGCTCTATAATGAGGGCATAATGCCCTTTAAACATGAAATAGAGTGTAGTTTAATAAACTTATGGTTGCTAGTTAAAGCCTAAAAAGATTTGATTATTGATGCAGTTCCATTTTTTTCATTGCTGGCCTTATTATGCTGTGTAATATCAGATTGGCTGTAGAATCAAGACAATTTACAGCTACCTTAAAGAGGATGCCTACAGCTTGATCACTCAATGAATGCGGCTGAAGCTCAGCCCTACGTGTGAGGGACTCAACCAGGGTGTGCACCCGTCCCTATTTTGGTTCTTTAAGCCCTTATCTATCACTATGTTAATCCGGGGGAGGGGGACCATGTCCCGATTTTCCCTAACCTAAGGTGGCAACCCTGGATCCAACTCACACACACTCTCACCACTGTCTTGATTGTGAAACATGACTGAGTGCCCAGACCCCAAAATGGATACGTGGAACTTTTACAAAAAAAAATCTGTTCATGAGAGATTTGCAGGTGTTCAAAAAATACAACTGAAATATGATTAACATCCTTTTATTACCAACTCAAATTAATAATTAACAAATATGCGCCCTTAAAAACAACAGCAAAATATATACAATTTGGTACAAGGCTTGGAAATACAAGTCGATACCACTATTAGGCCTAATACATTTACCAATATATCTATATAAACTTTACCAAAACAAAAGTTCGAGGTTAAGGACCAAGTTGGCAACTTAAAAGAAATTACTGAAATTAAGTTAGGCTAGGCCTACTTGGAATGAAAGTTTTACGATAAGAAAATTAATCTTAAAAGGCAAGAAATTGAAAATATGACATGAAACAAACATTTAATTGAAATGGCCTACAATGAAATCAATTAAAATAGTATTTTATCAAATTATCAATAACAAAGGTAACCTTTAAAAGGCAAAAAGTTGTGGGGAAGAATTTAGTACTGGCGTTAACCGAAATGAAATTTAGAACAATTGGGCCAAAAGTTTCCCCGTTAAAACAGAAATATTTAGGCTTTTACTAACATAACATGGTACATACACAATATATTTAAATAAACAAGGAAATGTGATACCCTACAAAATACATGAATTCTTGTAACATTGAAACACTCGTAGATCCATAATATACTGTGTCCTTTAAACTTTTACTGTAGACCCCCTCTTAACCGACCTCTTATTAACCAAAAATCGGATTATCCGCCTTCGATCGTAAATTAATACAGTTTGTTTTAACCGACCTTGCTTTGAGAGCAGCTCGGCTTAACCGCCGCTTTCTAGGAATCTCGGCATTTCCGCTCCCACGCTGGGCGATGAGAACTGAACCATACGCTTATCTCCACAGGATATGACTAAGAATAAGTTATTTTGTGTTGATCACAAAAAATATAGCATAGCCTTTTGTCAGTTTGTCATCATCGTTCGTAGCTCGAGCACATCTGATCTGATTTGTTATCTGTGCGGCAAATTTATAACATCATAAAGTGCGGTTAGGATTTTGAGAACTGATTATCTCATCGCCGGAGTCAACAAACAACGCAACTTGTAGAGAAGGCAGGGAAGGGGGGTTAACAACTACAAGGTCAAGATAGTCTTTGTACCTCGAGCCTCCAGTGAGAGGCTACAAATAAACGTCCTGTCTTGTAACAAAATGGTCGCTTGTATCTTTAATGTCGACAAAAGGTTCTGTACTGTATTGCGATGTATTTGGAAAGCATCAATTAATACTTTTCAGTACTAAGGTTATTAAAATAGGAATTTTATTGACTCATGCCTAGTATTATAATATATTCCACTGAAAGTAGGCCTATATTTGACTTAACCGTGTTTTGTGTTTATTTCTGACTTTTCTATCAATATGAAAAAAGGAGATAAGAGTAGTTTATTTTATAAATAATGCAAGTATGACATCAAAATAATGATTATAATTCCAAATGACTAAAGCACTTCATTATGTTATGATTTTAGGGATTGCCCGTTTTATCCGACCTTTTGAGTTATCCGACCTAGGTCCGGTCCCATTAGGGTCGGTTAAGAGGGGTCTACTGTAGTTAGTTCCAGTTCCACAACTCAACTCGCAGCGATAGAGAAATAAAATCATTTAATTTGAATCAGTAAAACACAAGGGGATTTATAGTCTGTAGTATAGTCCAGAAATAAGAAATAGGCCTAGTTAGGGAAACACTAAGTTCAAGTTCAAGGCTACAGAATTTAACCCTCCCAGTGTTACTTGACGAAAATTCGGCAAGCACCACACTTTGTATAGTGTTACTTGCCGATTTTTCGACAAGCAGACATCGTTTACGGCGAAGGCTCTATAACTGACTGAATCGGATTGAACTGGATCGAGTTAGGTATCGTTCTTTCCGTTACATTCTAAGCTGTCTCCAGATGTCTGTCTCTAAGCGCTATTCATTTTAGTTCTGAAAATATTGTAGCAGACAGCTGACGTGCGTGTATTTGTAAACAGCTAGGTTCCCCCGGACCGATGACTGATGTGTTTTATTACGTTTATCATTGTTTTAGTGTTAAAAATCAAAAGTAGTGATATACGTGGTGCATTATAAGAAGATTTAAGTGGTTTTGAAGTGCTGGTTGATGATCCTGAAGAAGTAGGTAGTGATATTGATGTAAATTATCAGCCAGATTCCTAGCTATGGTTAGGCTATGCATTCTTAGCTAAACGCTATGTACTGAAATCAGTTTTTTGCCCATAACTTATTTATTTGCAAATATACTTCCTTATATTATTATATATTTGTAATCCTCATAAAATTTAGAACAAAGTGGCTATTTTCAAATATTTATAGGCCTATAATTTATACAATTTCATTAGGCGTGAACTTATTTTTTTTTTGAAAATTTTCGAAATTATATTTTTTTTACCTAAAAAATTTTTTTTTTGAAAAAATGTTCCTTATGTTTTATATATAATATTGAAGCCCATGATTTTCCAAACAAAATGGTATATAGAACATTAGAATTAACATTGTTTTAAGCTTCTCAGATCCGTTTTAATAAAACCTTGCAAATGCGCCAAAAATAGGTGGACATTAAGGCCTAAACTATGGACACTTGGAGGGTTAAAAGGCTGAAACAGTAAAACTTTAATTTGGGAAAAAAACTTGATGTAAAATAACTGTTCTTGAAGGTAGGCTGATAGAAAACGTTGGATGGAGTAATAATAACATGGAGTAGATAGCACCTGGTTTGTAGAGATGATGAAGGCCAAAGTTCTCGTAGAATGTTTCCTGGTGAAGTCCTTCCGCTGCTAGTTGGTTGAGGTTAGGCCTAGTTTAGTCCGGGGGCGACTCCCTCATCTTGCTACGAACTAGGTCAGGAGGCATGATGTGTCCGCTGCTGTCGGTCCGGTACAGGAGCCCTTAAAATACACAGGCCTACTTAAAAGTTGAAGATAACCAGTATTTCAGAATGTTTATCAAACCTAAACCTTTCAAAGAATATTGACTTAGTCGTTCGAGAGTTTTCAGGCAGAGCTTGTTTACAATAAAATTTCAAGTAAAAATTTAAATATCTGTTAGTCATGGTTAAACAAATAATCTATATTTCTTTTCTTGGCTTAACAAAACAATACATATTTTCATTCAGTTTTCTGTTACTAACTCTAATACAATTTCCAACCTAGGCCTAGCCTGTGGATTTTGTTAAAAAAAAAAAAAAAAAAAAAAAAAAAACTCTTTCACTTAACTTTAGTTTAGGAAATTTGTAAACACAAATAATTAATGACTCAGAGCAACACAATAAATTTAAATCAACAATTTTACCAAAGTCGAACACGTGTTTCCTGAATGCCAACATGAAATTTTCTTGTCTGCGACACAACAAAAACTAACTTTTAAGCACAAAATTTTATCGACAACTTCAATTTAAACATTTGACAAAACAAGTTAAACAATTTAAACAACTTTAAAAAACATTATAGACAACATTTTACACAAAATATAGAAAAAGGGCAAATCTCTTGCGAAAGCTTTCAAGAACAGACAAAATGTTTGAGGGAAAATGGCTAAATGGGAAAATTCCATTTGTCCGAATTGATTTTCAGTTAAATATATTTTAATAACATTAGGTTTAACGATTACCTAGGTTTGCTGCTACAAGGAAACTAATAAAGTGTGTTTTTGAGTAAAATATTGATAGCTTAGTACAAAATAAATAAATTTGCCAAGTTTGATCAAAATATATCCATAAACAAGCAAACTACAACATTTGACAATATTCTCCATAAGAATAACATGGGAATTTTAAATTTACAATTTTTTAAATTTTCTCCGTTACTAATAATCAAACAAAAATACTTTTATATACTAAATTATTTGTTTTTTTAAGCTCTTTAAAAAGGTCCCGTAAAGCCCCGTTCCCATGGTCCGATCAAGCTGGTTCGCGACCTCATTCAAGTTTATCCCCCTTTACACCTTGAAACTAAATTTCATCAAAATCGGACAATAATTACTCAAGTTCGCGTTCACGGACATATTATATATATACATAAATTCAAATTTGAACGAATGGTGTTTTTTGCAGGGTGTCCACATTCTGGAAAGTCAGGGATAGTCAGGGAAAGTCATGGAAAAAAAATTCTGGTCATTGAAAGTCATGGAAATAGGCAAAAAGTCATGGAAAGTCATGGAAATCCCCAATGATGGATGGATTTGACGGGACTTAATACTCTAGTCGGCTGTAACGCCGACTATTGTAGCTTCAGAATTTTTCATAAATTCACAACACTTCACAACAATTTATTAGGCCTACAGTGTTTGTATTAGTTGATGAGAGTTTTGAATTTGTAATAGTACAATACAATCTGTACCTACTTTATCGTATAATTTAATTTGATATTTGTAGGATATTGTTGCAACAGTAGTGTACAGTATATTAAAATGTTACAACTTGATTATTACAACTCAAATTGCAATAGAAATATTGTTATAATGTTTTGAGTTGTCTTAAGTTATATCTTTTTAAGCTAATTTTTGGAAAGCTGTAAACTCAATAAACAATTAATAATAAAAAGTATACAGTAAGGAAAAAATAAAGTGGAGAGTGAACTTGGCCAGCTATGGGGACGGAGTAGACTGGGTTTTCTTTTTTCCTTCCATATTTTGAATACCATATTTTTACAAAATGTATTACTCCATTGTTATCTGTTAATACATATTTCAGTGTTTTCTGTGAAATAATGTGTCTAGGCAGTATTTTGTGTATGTTACATTATAATTTTCGAGTAAAGTTCGTGAGTCATGGAAATCAACAGTAAATGGTCATGGATAGTCATGGAAAGTCTTGGAAATCAATGACAAATTTTCTGTGGACACCCTGTTTTTGCCTCTGGGGACATCAAAATGAAAAAGTAAATCGGTCCCGGGCCTAGGTCTTACTGTGCCACCTACGGTTACAGCTACTTCCCTATAGGGAAATTCGCTAAAAAGAAGCAGGTATAACTACAAATTGAATACACACCTCTGTTACATAGACAGTAGCATTCTGGGTGGGAGGGTCGATGAACTTTGGCTGGTTTTGGTTGACATCCAGGATGGTTATGTCCACTTTGGCTAAAATGATGATATTTTGATTACGTGACACGACGTTTATTTGAACGAGTTGGCAATCCAGCATGACTGGACTATGGGATCGGTGTTGTAATGGGGGGGGGGGGGGTGTTGTTAGGTAAAAATTAGTTTAATAATTTTTTGATCCCCAAAACATCAAGCTTTGCAATTTCTTCATAAACTGTTTTGTAGAGCTTTATGGGGCCATTAACTCAAAAATCAAAATAAGTCAAATTTCCTTGTATTCTTATACAAATGTTTCTAAACTTTATATGATTAAAAGTTTATTGGGACTAAAGCTGGTACAAAATTTGACGAATTCCCCCTCCCCCACATGATTTTATTTTGATGATCTTACTAATATTATAAATCTGAAAGTTTGTGAGTTTGTGTGTGTGTTTGTGTGTGTGTTGCTCAATCACGCATAAACTACTGGACGGATTGGGCTGAAATTTGGCATGATGATAGCTCACATTCCCGATTAACATTAAAGCATATTCTTATCTCAAAAATCCTTTCGGGCTCCGCCCCAGTGGCTCTGTAGTTCCCTATGTTAACCTTATGATTTTTCATATTTAAAAGGAATTAATGAATCTTAACAGCTGTTTCAATTAAACAAGTTGGTTCTGTTCTATGATGTTCAATAGCATAAAAGTTACAAGGATTACCAACAGGGTGCAGCACTATTATTTTTTTTTATTTATGACCACAGCCAACCAAAAGGTGAGTGAGCGTAGCGAACGAACTTCAACCAGGACGTGACCGAGCCATGCGAATACTTATGAAGTTAAACGGGGCAAAGCCCGCGGGTACAGCTAGTTGTTTATATTTTTAATTTTGTTACTGTAGTTACAAACTTTAATGGGAAAAATCAAAAGATGTTTTAACAATTTTGCTTACAAAAAATAAGAATTTAAAAAGTGTGATAAATAAATTTTTTTTACGTTTTACTTTATTTTACTTACTACAGTTTGTGCATTATACATCCAAGCATAAGAGTGCGAAATATCAACACCGTAGGTTGAAAAATAAATAAGTTACCCTGCAAACATTCCGTCAAAACATAGAAAAATCTAACTTATAAGAAATTGGCTAAAACAATGAATATACCTATATAGTTTTTTGTCCTAAATGCGTAAAAAATAATATGGAGGTATCTATTTACCCTTTTACACCAATACATTAGATAACTCTAGCTGTTAGTTTTCAGTTCTGGAAAGGAAAAAAACACTTCTAACAAGTATAACTAGTATCTTATATATTAAAAAGATTTGGATTTTCTTTTCCGAGTTCGTTTGTCTCTTCTACCACACCGATTTTCATGATTGAGGTCTCAAATTGAAGGTATGCACGCACAGATTTGCCATCAAGCATCGGCATATATTTATCTATAATCCCACTCGGCTTATACGTAAAAAAAATTAGCTCCCCATGTATTTCTTATTCAATTCAATTCAAAACTACTTTATTCATCTCTTGTACAAAATACATTGAATAGTGTCAACAGTTCAGCTGCAAGTAGGCCTAATATTTATTAAATACATTTCTAACATAAGAAAATAAAAACAAATTTTCACAAACTTAATTTTTTTTTTTTTATAAATTGTAAACGAAAAATACATATGCTGAATTAGTTTTTGACCTCAAAGACTATTCAACTCTCCAAAAGAAAAAATAGCCTTGCTGATGAGAGTTATGAGAGTTAAATTTGGCTTTTCTTTTCCGAGTTCATTTGGCTCTTCTACCTGACGGATTTTCATGATTAAGGTCTCAAATTGAAGGTATGCATGCACAGATTTGCCATCAAGCATCGGCATATATTTATCTTTAATCCCACTCGGCTTATACGTAAACGAAATTTGCTCCCCATGTATTTGTTATGGGAGTTAAATTTGGCTTTTCTTTGCCGAGTTCGTTTGGCTCTTCTACCCTACCGATTTTCATGATTGAGGTCTCAAATTGAAGGTATGCACACACAGATTTGCCATCAAGCATCGGCATATATTTATCAATGATCCCACTTGGCTTATACGTAAATGAAATTTGCTCCTCATGTATTTCTTATGGGAGTTAAATTTGGCGTTTCTTTGCCGAGTTCGTTTGGCTCTTTACCCGACCGATTTTCATGATTGAGGTCTTAAATGAAGGTATACACGCACAGATTTTCCATCAAGCATCGGCATATATTTATCTATAATCCCAATCGGAATATACGTAATCAAAATTTGCTCCCCATGTATTTCTGATGGGAGTTAAATTTGCTTTTTCTTTGCTGAGTTTGTTTGGCTCTTCTATCCGACCGATTTTCATGATTGAGGTCTGAAATTGAAGGTATGCACGTACAGATCTGCCATCAAGCATTGGCATATATTTATCTATAATTCCAATTGGCATATGCGTAAACAAAATTTGCTCCCCATGTATTTCTTATGGGAGTTAAATTTGCTTTTTCTTTGCCGAGTTTGTTTGGATCTTCTACTGACCGATTTTCATTATTGGGATCTCAAATTGAAGGTATGCACGTACAGATTTTCAATCAAGCATCGGCATATATTTATCTATAGGCCTAATCCCACTTGGCTTATACGTTAACAACATTGTCTCGCCATGTAATTTTAGTCATGGTCGCATCTGGATATCGGACTACCGGATCCGCCGGATCCCAGCTAGAACCGGCACCCGATGGGATCCAAAAAATTCCGGATCTTGGGCTAGATCCGGTTTTGATGGATCCGATTTTTTCCTAACACAAAGCTGTCTGTATCACTGTACAACCCCGATTTTTTTACTAACCCAAAGCTGTCTGTATCCATGTACAAGACCGTTTTTTCCCGAGTGTTTGTCTCTTGATGCAAATAACTTATATGGCAAGGCCATGACTCAGTTTTTGTCTTTTGCTATCCAGTGGGACCACCCACAACATCCCAAGACGAAAATTACCCGAGCAGGGTAATGCCAAACAAGTCCTGTTTTGACAGTTCCCAAGTGTCAGCTGCAAAAGTCGTGCCGCGCCAAAAATTCATTTGATTTATAATTGTCGTAACATTGTTATATACTTGCTGGAGGGTTTGTTTAGTATATAATAAAATAAAAGTTCAGAATGTGATCTTTCAAATGGTATAAATATTGTTCATATCAGAGTTGATTATAAGTGGTTTTTTCACCGTTAAAAAAAATTCAGCCCATACTAGCGTATTACGCTGGTGGCCATTCTAGGACGCTCGTTGGTCACTGCTAGGGTTAGAACATTTAACTTTTTAATTGAAATTTTCGTGAAGAAGGGTTTGCTAGTCAGAGATAAGAATAAACATGGACATTTTAAAATTCAAATTTTTTAAAATTATATCTGTGATTGTTATGCATGCAACGCTTCAACATACAAAACTAATTCTTTTTTTAAAATCTACAATAGTTTTGAAAATTTTTTTGAAATTTTGTGTTTTTAGGGTCTAAAATGGGAAAACCAATTTTTACCCCATAAACGCCCATTTCCATAGTCCGATCATGCTGGTTCGCGAACTCATTTGAATAAACACGTTTGTACCAAATTTAATCAAAATCGGATCATTTTTGCTCTAGTTATAGCACTAACAGACACATTTAAATACATTATAATATACATATTTGAATTTGAACAGAGGGTGTTTTCAGCCTCTGGGGACCTCAAAACGAAAAAGTAAATCGGTCCCGGGTCTACATCTTGCCATGCTAAAAATGAGATCAAAGAATGGAAAGATGACATAACTAAACAACTTTTAAATTTTAAACAGTCATTAATTAATTCCGTGGTGAGGCAAAGAAGCTAACTTAAATTGCTCTGTGGACAGTATTACTGTGAATTTTTTTTATTTAAATAGAAAAATCAACATACAAAATGTTGATTTTTTAACACACTTGAATTGGTTTTGGCTTTTAATGAGTGATTCTTAATACTAATACTGATGTCCAATCAACTCATTCTACAAAAGTTAACTTAAAGTGAGGATCACAACTTTATTTGTGTTACTAGCAGATAAAAACTCTGCAGATTTTTATAACATGCCCTTACCCTCAATTAATTCAACTTCTGATTAGACGCAAGCACAAGAAGGGTCAGGAGGAGGAGCAGACCAAGAAGCGCTCGAGGAGGACACAGAAGTTCCAGCGAGCCATCGTTGGTGCTTCCCTCACAGACATCATGGCCAAGAGAAACATGAAGCCAGAAGTGAGGAAAGCTCAGAGAGAACAGGCCATCAGGTATTTCATAGAGAGCCGTTTTGTGTTAATGTTTTTGTTTTTCTTTCAAGACAACACAAACTTAAGTTCAAGAGAATATTTTCTTTAGTTGAAACGATTACAGTAGACTCCCTCTTATCTGGACTCCTCGGGACTAAAGCCAGTCCGGATAAAGTTCCGGTTAAACCGACGTCCCCAAAACTCATTAAAACAGACCGTTTAAATACATACTGTATTCAGTATTTGACATAAATTTAGGAGAAAATTGTATTTAGACATGTGATCACTGGTCTCAAATCTTTCCCACGACAAAAATAGTTTCAGTACCGCCCACTTCTTGCCGATCTAGTCCGGTTAAACCGATGTGCTGATAAAAATTGTCCGGTTAAAGAGATGTCATTTCCGCCGAGTGTAGTCCGGATAAGAGGGAGTCTACTGTAATTCCCTAATGTTATAAATTTATAATAATCAATAAAAACAAATCCTGGTTCTTTTTACGTTAATTCACTACCACTACTTTTATTATTGCAATTCCGATCAGTTATGCTAGTCTATGAATATATCAATTATAAAATGAAACTATTCTAAACTAGGTAACTTTGTCTATTCAACCAAACTTGCTGATTATGAGAAATTTCTGTTAGTGAATAAACGGAATTGCAATACAAAAATTAGTGGCAGTGAAATAACGGTAAAGGACCAAAATCCTTAAATAATAAATTCAAGTATAGTTTTATTTAGATTACTGTACTTGGCCATTATCACTGGTTTCTTAAGAAACTCAATTTTCTTGTTTACTGTGTGTTTTGTTTACTAAGATTGCTTTGATAATTCTTTCATTGTTGCTGTATAAAACCACATAGGCTCTCCATATAAGCCATCTACCATATAGGCCAATCTGTTGTAAATTGTATCCCAAATAAGATTTGTTTTGAGCCATAACAAGACTAAATGTCGCATAGGTGTGGGAACCTGCTATGGAATAGTAGTGGTTTTATGTATTAAATACAAATACTTATCTCTTAATGTATCATAACTAATTGATCATAACATGATACCAAAATTTGGTTTCAGAGCTGCTAAGGAAGCTAAGAAAGCCACTAAAGCGGCCAAGAAGCCTCCTCCAGCACCTAAGGTACATTATCTTGTTAGATTTTAGCTGGATAGATGAAATCATTTGCAAATGAAAGTGTAAAGGTTGATTCGCACACATCAGTTCTGGAAATTTATTCTTTAATGAATTTCCTGTTGCACTATTTACTATTACTAGATCCAATTCGGAGACGAGACGATGATGATGATGTCAACACAGCCGCGGGAGATGTTTATGATTTTGCCGCTATCACGTAAGATGACGATCACGATTTCGGGACCGTGGGAAACGATGATGATGTCTACACAGCCGCGGGAGATATTCATGATTTTGCCGCTATTGCGTAAGACGACGTTCACGTTTTCAAGACAGCAGGAGACAAAGATGATGTCTATTTCTCCGCGGCCACATGACTCGTTCATGATTTCACCGTGATTGGAGAAGACAAAGATGTCTAAGCGATCGCGCAAGATGTTCACTATTTCTCCGCCGCCGCATGAGTCGTTTATGTTCCGCCATGATTAGAGGAGACTAAGACGACGTCTCAGCGCTCACACAAGAAATTAATAGACTTATTTATTAGCTAGTCTCCTAGGCCTTTATGTTAATCAGATTGTTGGAAACAAAAGGTCAATTCATCAAGTTAAAGCAATACCACGCGTATTTCTAAACCCTAAGTTCTTACCTTCAAAGAATCAGAATATAGAGGGGCTCTCTCTGGTAAGGGCCGCCGGGGGCCTCATAAATTCTAAATACGGCCCTGTGGACATGTTTGAAGAATATGGTTACTAGGCTATCCTCTTCACTCATTACATTTAGTGTCCATCTGGCAACACTGCGCTGAAGTGTAACTGATCTTTCTGCCAAGACCCAGTGAGATTGCGTCATTCCGAATTCCAATGCATCGATGTTCCTTGCAGTAACGGCTTTTAAAACAACACTAATAACCGATTAAAGTGAAAAAATACAATGCAATAATAATTTATTTTTATTTGTTGTAATAATATATTTTGGTATACAATATTTTGATGGCAATTTAAACTTAATCTAATACTGTACTTTATAATATCTCCAAGAATCTTCTGCCTATGATTTACTAATCACGAGACCCCCTGTTGACTATCGACTACTGTAACCTGAATGCTTTATTTTGTTTAACTTACCATATCGTTATCGAGACATATTGTTGACTGTTGTAGGAAAGTAGTAGTGGTCCTCTTGCTAGCTCTGCCGAATGACGACATGGATAGTTGTTTGTTGAACATTTACTTTACTAAGCCCATATATTAAGTTAGATGGTAGATTTTCTTTTAGGAATGGGGATTAAATAAGACATCAACACAAAAACAAATATCATTTATTAAATATGGGCACGTAGAAAATCGTGAAGTTGCACGATTAAGTGGCAAATTAGTTTTAATTTTTTTATATTTTTCTTACTAAACTGTGACTTGAATTTTCTAGTAGTAGTTACTACTCGACTCGAGGTTGAGTATTTAGAAAAAGTCGAGTAATCGCTCGAAAGTTGAGTACTCCCCCACCCCTACTATTTACGCTCATCCGGGGCAGGTCCTTCAGTGGCTGTGCCGGGGTCCGTCACTCAATTTCAGATTTCTTTCCATCGAAATAGGATTGTTCGGACACCTGACAATCGTTTGATGTATATTTTTGACATTTTAAGAAGTAGTGTTTTTTTTCATACAAATAATTGTGTTATTTGTTAAGTACTGTTTGTACTAATCATCAAGAAGGACGATGAACAATTGATAGAATGTGTTCAATTGATAGAATGTGTTTGCCAAAATATTGTTTTGTATGATATATCTAACCTTAAGTACAGTATATATTGAAAGCTTCCGCGATCGTGGAGTCATTATGCTTTATTACACAAAATTCTGACTAGCGTTGTTGCCATTTAATAAACAACTAACTAGTGTATTTCTAAAGTATATATTTATACATACGAGACATTTTGCCCAAGTTTATTTTTCCCATTTAGCTCTTGGAACTGTTTGTTTGATTCAAACAATGGAATATTTTCAAATGGTGAATTTTGTTACAGGGAAAAACAGCGCCAAAGCAGAAAGCCACAAAGGTTCAGCCCAAGGCAGCTCCTCGTGTTGGAGGGAAGCGTTAATTGTTTTGACAATAAATTGTTTTAAACAAGTTTACTCCTTATTGTGACCTGGTTTAGTTTATTATTAAATTGATTTGTCCTTGGTATTATTCAACATAAAAGGGCTGAGTGCTGCTGTGTTGGAAACCAATTTTGCAATCAAGTATTGGTACATTAGAATGATTTGACTGGGACGGTGGCGTCGTCCTATAATCCAGCTACTAGGAGTTCACGAATTGTGGATCATGCACTGTGGACTCCCTTGTCTGGATTAACGTTCGCACTAGTGAGTACTACGACTACCTGCAGTACTATCCTGATAATTAGACCAATTTGTTAATTACAAGGCAAAAATAGGGTTTGGATTCCACTATAAACTGTAGGTCCCATAGTTACCATTGGCTGTATGGGTTATTAATTAACAACTGTGTCTAAGGAATACTTGGTTAAGTTGGTGAGTCCGTGGCTCAGTCGGTAGCGTCACAGACAAGGCAGCGATGTCGTGGGTTAGGATCCTGGTCACTGCCGAAAACAGTTTATCAGTAAAGTTCACCTTTGTACTGTACTGGCTCACCCCTTGCTTTGCTGGATACGTTCCACGCACGGGTCTATGTGGACGGGCAAATGCAAGGTTAAAAGAAGCCGCCAACCTATTTAATTTAAAAATATATATATATTATATATACGACCTTAGTCACTACACTAACAAGACTATAAGATCGCGCCACTCATCCTACATTTATCTCCATTCATACTTGGCTTTAAAATACCTACATTAGTATGGTCGCCATTTCATCTTAAAATACCTACATTAGTATGGTCGCCATTTCATAAGAAAGTATTAAAGTAAATAATTATACAGGGTGATTGATATAAGTGTGCCAGCCGTTTTATTTGAAAACTATAAGAGATATCAAAAAAAGTTAAACGGTAAGTGCCTTGGATTTTTTATTTAAAAATTATAGTCTAGTCAAAAAAATTATTTTAGCCGCCATTTTTCCAATATGGCCGCCAACTTTGATTTTTCTTATGGAACACCCTGTATTTTATGATGTATTCTGGTAGAAAAAGTAATTTTAATACGATTTTATTCTTGTGATTTTTTTTTCATAAACCTAACCGTTTCAAAGATAATAATGGTTTAAGTTGTGAAATTTTGAATGGTTTTCGAACCAAACAGCTTGCATGCTTGCTTAGGCCTTTATCGAAACTCTTTCTCATGCAGAAATTTCAAAACTTTAACCATTATTATCTTTGAAACGGTTAGGTTTATGAAAAAAATCACAAGAATAAAATCGTCTTAAAATTACTTTTTCTATCAGAATACATCATAAAATACAGGGTGTTCCATAAGAAAAATCAAAGTTGGCGGCCATATTGGAAAAATGGCGGCTAAAATAATTTTGTGGACTTACCACAATTTTTTAAATAAAAAATCCAAGGCACTTACCATTTAACTTTTTTTGATATCTATTATAGTTTTAGAATAAAACGGCTGGCACACTTATATCAATCACCCTGTATACCTATTTGATCTTAACAGTAGCATAAGGTTCTGACCCAAACCTTCATCTGTTCTTATGGATCTAGTACAGGTAAAACTTACCTAAGAAAACATAAAAATTGGTCCGTTCATGAAACTTGCAGGGAACGTAGTAATTACCATTAGGTTTTGAAATCTGAAGAGTCCCTAGTGATTGTGGAGGTGGAAGTACCATTTTATGGGGGTAGTGATTTTGAGAAAATTTTTATTTATGGGATCCAAGCAAGGGCGGTGTCGTTTTCTATGTTTCTTAGGATCCAGAATCGGAAAAAAACTTAATAAAAGCAATACAACCGACAGTTTATTAGAAAAAGGCTAATTTATTAATGAAAAACTAAATATGACAAATTAATTATGGTAAAATAATCCAGTTAATATCAATTTTAGCAAAATTGATCATTACGCTGTGTCATATGTTAAAGTTGTGAGGAAAATTAACCAAGAAACTGGTAGTTACACCTCTTTAACCACTACGTGTCATATTGTTCATCAGCTACTAATGCATCATCGCCATCCATGGAATCGTCAGGGTCTCTAACTCGTTCTTCTCTGAAACTGACAGCTTAGTAGTGGGGGTGGGTAGCAGAAAAATATTTCAGTTCTGGCGGTGATCCTGCAACTTAGGGTGAAGATAATATATAAGACCAAGAATGTAAAACCGCCCAGACCCCAATTTTTAAGGACCTTGGTCGCCCGTAATGACGTCATCAATATGGCGCTCGTAAGAGGATGCTGGGTGGCTATGAATTGGTTATAATACGAAAATGCCTAAACCTATTTTAATTAAATTTGGCAAACAAGTGCTTGAATACAATATCTAATCCCAGGTTGTCAATGGTCGAGTTTGATCAAGTAATTTCAAAATGGCGGCCGCTAATAACTAAAACAATTAAATATTGTTTAGTGTAGGGATAAATCAACCAACTGTGAATTTATCTCACCCTGCGAATGTAAATCATCTATATAAAAAATCTTCCTTCGCACCCATTTCATTCGCGGCCTTAAGGACAACTCTATTCGTGAACATCTTTTACAATCTTATATGATAATCTGAGAGTTCCAGGAAATCGTATCTAAGGCAATGGCTTTAGAAGGTTCCAGGCTTGACTCTAAACTAATATCTCTGAAACATCTTCCTACATCGACATCAGACCTACCAGATATCAATAAGGTTTCACATCTAGACAGCTTGACTGTTCCCCTTCTCAAAACAATGTCTCTAGCAGGCCCAAATCAAAACCCAAACACACTCCAAATTCTCGAATCAAATTTGATGAATTGGGAATCAACAAGTTATGTTTGCGATGCGGCAAATCTAATCATTTATCTAAAGAATGTCGAACGGACAAAAGCAAACTAAAATGTTCTGAATGCTCAAGACTAGGACATGTAGGTAAAGTTTGCACCAGCACACTTATGAATAATAGGTCCAAGAATAGCTCACACTCAACTAACCAGATAAACAACACAAGTGACCACCAGTATGAAATTAACATAGTAGACATATTTCAAACCGAAACCTCACCACGTTTTCTTATATTTGTTAATATTGAAAACAAACCAGTACAGTTTGAAGTAGACTCCCGTTCAGGCTATACTTTACTTCCCCGAGACAAATTCAACCAATTAGATCTCAATCTAAACTCCAGCCAACTAACTTACTTTTTAGATCTTACACAAAAGATGTATTCAAACCCTATGGAAAAGTAGAGGTCAATATAAAATACAAATCTAACATATACAAAGGTGAAATCTACATTGTACCTGACAACTACCCACCTATCTTAGGACGTCAGTGGATTCGTAGTCTAAAAATTGAACTACAGTATCTGAAATAGACAACCAACAAGTACATTAATCTAACTGCTACATACGGTTTCCAGTTCCCACACTCCACACTGCTCACCTTACTACTTCCTTCACCTCTTCATACGTCGCGGACCTGTTTCCCTCTCTTCCCATAGAATTTTAAGAGTGTAGATACGTTAATCTAATCGTCATCAACAGTCCCCACTCTCCAAACAGCTCGTCTTGACTGCTTCCTTAACCACTTCCTACGTCTCGGACCTGTTTCCCTCCCTTCCTGTAGCATTTTAGGATTCCAGATCCATTAATCTAATCGTCATAAACAGTTCCCACACTCCGGACTGCTCGCATTTACTACTTCCTTCACCACTTCCTCCGTCACGGACCTGTTTCCCTCCCTTCCCATAGCATTTTAGGAATGCATATACCTAAATCTAATCGTCATAAACAGTTTCCACACTCCAGACTGCTCACCTTTAGTACTTCCTTCACCACTTCCTACGTCACGGACCTCAAGCTAGTGTCGTCCTTTTGTACCCTTGTTTGTCAAACTTCTTACTAGGCACAATTTATATTTAAAAATAATTTTCTTTTTTAGTACCGTAGGTAAAAACAAATAAATCTTCATCTTGCTTCAATATATATATATATATATATATATTCAAAATTAAAACCTCTTCAAAACAGTTTCAACCATAGATAAAACATACTTCCTTAAGCGGGGTTTACATTGGTCAAGTTACTTGAATCAAGTTTACTGGAGTCAAGTAACTTGAACAGTGTAAACGCTTCTTCAATTGATTTTTACCTCGTTCAAGTAGTGCTTGACCCCTAGATTCAAGTGTCAAGTAAAAGTTGAACATGTTTGATTTTTGGAGTCAAGTTGGCTGCACTTGAAACAAGTAGGAAGGTCTCTTGACCAGTGTAAACACACATTCAAGCTCACTTGCTTCAAGGATTAACCTAAAAATCTAGTGTCACGTTGAGTGCTGTTGTTTTGTTATTGTTTATGTTAAAAGCATCTTTCTAAAAATGAGTTCAAAAAGTGTTAAGTGGACAAGTGATCAAATTATTGAATTCCTGGAGGTGTACGAAAACTATCCTGTACTGTGGAACTCGGGTTTGAGTGAATATAAAAATAGGAATTTAAGAGATGCCGGATTTAAAGGTTTGGTAGACCAATTGAAAACCAATTTTCCCGACATCACCTCTTGGATGTGGTAAGAGCCAAAATAAAACTAATCAAAACCATTGTCAGCCAAGAATGCATTAAAATTGCGAAATCCAAAAAATCTGGTTCAGCTGCAGATGAACTGTACGAACCTAAACTTAGCTGGATCCATGCTGCAAAGTTTTTAATGGGTCGTTCGTCCAGCAGACCTTCTACTTCAACTCTGGTAAGTAAAAACTACATTTCTTTATGTCTACACATAATTTATTAATAAAATGCTTTTATATACTATAAGTTACATATTTACATACAAATATTGCAGTAATAGTATTTTAACTGAGTACCTTCAGCATACAACATACAGGAAAGGCTAACATATTACATTTGTACAAAGTTAAAGGCTGTTCGATGGTTGATCAGCACCAATCCACTTCCATTGCCACGGTAGTGACCCTTGTTTTGAACAGAAGAAATTTTCATACTGCTCTCTAAACTTTTTGAGCTCAAGTTTGTAAGCATTTGTCGAAGTCA